GAGCAAGAATTATACGAAGCTAGCATTTTGTCTAGGAAATGGGTTAATTAAAACACAATTGTCCTTAAAGTGCGTGTATTAAAAATGCGATCCGTTCGTTTTAAAAGCTTATTACGAACTAACTTTTAAGATCACAAATACGCATATATAAAATATAAAATTCAAACTGAAGTACTCAGCGTTTCTCGGGCGTCTTACATTTATCGCCCTTTATAAACAAATACTTAACAGTAAGCTAAACAGAGAATGTATGGGATATGGTCGTAATAATTTTTGCCTTAATTAATATATTGAATTACAACATTTTGGACATATTTGACGAAGCCTGGTTTCATTTGAGTGACTACATTAATTTTCAAAAAATGAAAATGTAAAGCACCGAAAATCCACCATGTTTATATTGAGACTCCCATTCATCCTCAAAAATTGGTGTTTAGGCTGCAATTAGTCAACGAGGGATAATAGGGCGTATAGGTAGAAATGTATGATATGCAATTGTAAGACCGAATGGGATTGTATTATTCATACTTACGTAACTCAGAACTGATTCATCTTACTCTAAAATGTTTAAGTCGACGTCACGGACAAAGCAATCGTCTTATTATTTTATTTTAAGGCTAACGTTGCAATTATGACATAATTTCATGGTCTAAACAGGTGTAGAAGTCGTTTGCTACGGATGCGACTGCTAAAATTACATTTATATTGAGATGTAATCACTATTGTTATTAACAATAATATTATGTTGATAAATCATTTATGTTTTTTCTTACATAATGCTTCAGGCAAACATTGTTGCGTTATTTTTTTTCCTACAATACAACAATTTGGTTATCACAAATTCTATTTGTCTTGGAATTCCAGAAAAAATTAGGGGTGAAAATCAAATTTACTACTTGAAATATCTATGTAATAACAATATTGAGTAATCTTATTTCAAAAGTTACGCCACTGGTCTCCCCTCCACTTAGAGAGCAGAAAGCAGTGTAAACTTTTGGTACCACTACAAACAATGAGAATGAGTTGAGTTTTGACTGATTTTTACTATACAGCGGTTATAAGTATTTATTTCAAATAATTCCGTACAATTATTAGAAGTACGATATATACTTAAGTACGTAAGTAGTAATTTGATAGATAGTAGTTTCATATTAGTAACATTATCTCAGAAAAACGCGATAATTTTGTGAATACATCTACAGAACACAGCTATTACGATCAATTAAATTATGTTACATAATCTCTGGGTATTAATTTATGCAGAGTTTTTACATAATACATACCAGATCACTGAGTTAACTTAATACCGTAATTCCCCGTGTTTCTGATGAACCTGTTGTTCGACCGAATACAAAAAGACTTCAACTAACCTCTAAATCAACTACTGCAACGTGTTAAAATAACCTCGTTGACGATTCGTACATTTTTTTGTGTACTTTGTTAGGTTACTGTTGTGAAATAAATATAATCCACATATTTCTATGCGTTAATTGTATACGTTTGAAAGATCATTTGAACATCGGTTACATAATAGATTAGATCCGATTGCGATCAGGATTTTCACTTTTGTCAAATTCCTACCTTAGATCCAAATCACTCCATATCTGTTTCAATTAATATATCAAAATACGTAGAGACAGAGTCTCTTCCAAATTCAAATTTTCGGATAGAGATCGGCAATTTATAATTAATATACAGCATGTTTAAAAAAAATCTAAAACATAGCAATTTTCAAACTTTGATATTTAAGTTTTTTCAAATACAGCACCCTGTATTTAATTTCTGCATCTTATTTTTGTTTGTCATTCTTTCAATAAGTTTGTGTGTCTTCTAAAAAAGCGAAAAATCACAGAAACTATTAACTTTAATTATAGAAAATAGTTAACAAAAAAGAAAGAGAATAGCAAACACAGCAAGAAGCAATCATATTATACAGGGTGTTCTGTCTGATAACAATGAAATATTGAAATTTGAAACGCGTAGCTTGGTTTATCGTTCCACATTTATTATTCAGTTAAGTAAGTCCATGATACAAAGACTCTCAAGATATGATGTTCCCGTGAACGAAATTGAGAACAGTTCGCGCATGACGTCACGTAGAGACGAGCGCGGATGAACAAAACACGCGCGTATACGGATAAATACGTATGACGCAGGTATCTTTCTTTCTGTAAGCCTTAAAAACCGTCAAAAAATAGTTTCAATGTAGAATATGTTAAACTAAAGGTATACCTAAATAAGTAATTGTTGTAAGTTTGTCGTCATCACCGACTGCTAAAGAGAAACTAAATATGTAATTTAAAATCATAAATTCGTAAAATGCAACAAAAAAACTTATTCTAGATTGGGAACTGCAATCAAAAGTGGACAACAGCTATCTCTTAAGTAAAATATGGTAATACAAGTGGTGTACAATTAATTTTTATTGTTTTAAAATCAAAAAAGAAGGAATATAAATCTGTAGAAGAAAATTTGTAAATTTCAAATTAAAAAAGTCGCATTTTGACAAGTCTAGCTCAAAATATGAATTGGCAGGTTCGGTATTTTTCGCAACGAGTAATAAGTAATGTAAATTAATAGTAATTAACGTGACAAGTCCGGGAACACATTTTGTTGCACTCCCAACAACGGCTGTTTAACAAATGTTGAATATTGTATTTCAGTACATATTACATCATTGTATTGTCATAGCAACATTTTACAGGACTTGTCCGTTTTTTGCGTTTTCCTGGACTCAAACTAGTAACGTAAAGTGGTGAAATTTAACACAGTATGAAATAAAAATTAATGGACAATTTCTTTAATGAATTATTTCATTTAACTTTCTTTTCTTTGATACATTTGCAGATTGTGAACTATGTTTTAATGTATGGTTCAAATGCTTAATTCGGAAGTACATCTTGTATCTGAAAAACAAATTTTTAATTTTTTCATCACATTGAATATGTTTTGATAGATCCAAGAGTGACTTCAAATATTTTTTTGATATTTTGAGACTACCATCATTAAAGTTGTTGAAAATATCTTCTAATTTTTTAATGTTCTTTAAAAGCTCTTCCGATGGTTTTATTAGGCCACCTTCTGAAAGTTGATCTGTCCACGTATTTGAAGATGTAGAAGGCTCGTTAATATTTAGTCGTTTGCAAATATAACCACGCAAGTGTTCCAAAGAATCATGATACAAATCATCAATGTCTTCTTCAACAGTTGGAATTTTCGACTGAATCATTATCGTCTGACAATGCAGAAAGACACCTTCCGCTGAGAAGTACATTTTCCTCTATATTAGGACCTTGCCGATAGTCACCTGCATTGCAACCTTCAGATAAACTACCATAATTGCGCCCCAAAATTTGGTTGCGTAATCGATATCGAAAGTCAACTGGATCCGGATGGTCGTACAGGCCACCTTTTGCTCTGATACTGGCAAAAAAGTTTTCTAAAATATCTTGGTTTAAACGATAAGTTAGGATATATTTTAAGCCAAATCTTTCATTTAAATCTTGATACATTAATTTTAAAGCTGTCTCTAGTTAGTCTAGTTACCAACCAAACTTCTCATCATTACGACTTGCACATAGTTATATGGTTTCAGTGTTTCATCATTGATTTTATCGTAACAGTATATTTTTTGCACTTTCATTTCGTCAAAAGAGAGGATACAAATTTTGTGTAATTCCGATAGTTCACTTTTTTTACTATGTTGACCACTTGTTTTAGCAATCCCGGAGCCAGTTTTATTTTTCTGGTCCAAGCGCGAGGTGTAGATACGGCTGGAAACGGAAGTCCTTTTTTCAGCATTATTCTATAAGCCCTAGGACCTGCAGAATAAATTGGAATTGCTTGAGAAATTTCATCCACCGACCATAGAATTCTAACACGAGGATTCTGCAATTTTTGTATTTGCTTCGCCGTAAAGAGGGATCCAAATACTTGTTGTTGCTTTTCAAGAATTTCTATTCTTTTCTTCAAAGCAGCAACACTTTCTTCATTAATATCTTCCGTATTTACACTATTAATGATGGTACTAATAAGGTTAAATTCTAAAAAAATTATCAAGTGCAAATAAAAAAAATCAGGCAAAATAAAAATAAAATGCTTCGACACATAAGCGAATTATGTGCTTGGAGTGTATACCCAACGGATCGACTCCCAGATAATTCATTGTTAATTTTATTAGTAATAAGCATGTCTTCATTGGCTGATTTCATACATTCGTTTCACCTCTGTAATTTTTTAATTAATTTACGTAATGAAAATAATATGTAGTTGACAACAAATAAAAATCAAAAATAAAATAAAGCGTTAATTCAAGGTAAAAAAAATGTTTTATTGTCTACTTCTTGTCTACTTTTATCCTAGAACAACTTTTTTTTTAAATACCTGGTCTCAATAATTTGTTTCGCCAGCTTTGTAGAACTCCTTTTCTTAGATCTTTCTGCCCTATCACCTCCGATTTTTTTTGATTTATTCTTTGGCAGAAAAAGAGTTGGAATTGCATCGTCTTTCAATAATCTTTTGCCGCCTATTGGCAAATAATTTAACAGTTCATATTTTAAATTTCTTGCATAATTGTCTGCACAAAAATGTTTGGACCAACTCTCGCTGTGTCTGCATTAAACTTATCCACACGACAACAAGCAATTTCCCATAATTTTCTGAGAGTATGTTGTTTGGGCAAAGTGAAAAACTTTACATTTTTATCACAATCTTTCGACTGATTGTTGTTATTGCAGCCAAAAACTGCGCAGCGCATTTTATATTTGTAATAAAACACTAAAATAACTAAAATATATCGCGAAGCACAAAATCACGCAGAAAACCCAGTGCAGTTGCATTTGCAAGTGTTGTCGTTTCGCGTGACGTCACGACCGCGCGGTGGGAGCGATGCGCAATGTCTTACCTGTTTAATCTTTGTATCATGAGGTAAGTCTATTGTGGATATAAACTTACGTTAACAAAAAAGATAATTAATCGTACATTACACAAAATATACATACCTGTACAAAGTAAAACTCTTACTTTGAAACCAAATTCGTTGTCCGTTTTGTTGTAAGTAATATCACGTTGCACAAATAATAATATCAACTATATATTATAACAATTTTCTTCTACTAAGTACGAAATTAAATAGCTGTCTCAGCGTACAAGAATTTGAGAAAAATAAATGATTAATTTGGGTACATTTGGATTTTGCAGAAAACACTTGAATTTAATCATTGAGAACGGAAATACATATTCAGTTAGTCTCTTTACTGATAAGAACACATCCCAACTGCATGATGTAACAACAAATTTTTATTATCCGTGATTATTTCCTTATTCGTTATCGTTCAAGACGGACTGACAAAATCTGGGGTTCGGCTATCTGTTAGTAATCATATCACTTTATCAGATACTGGCAATATTTACAATATACAGCCATGACATAATAGAAAAGTTGCGTAATTTAACGACCGATGAAGCTTCCTACGAAACAAATGATATTTTTTATCAGGAAACAAACTGATAAATAAATAAAGGCAACAAATTTGCAAATACAGTGTATATAGTGTTTATTATACATATAAGCTTCCTAAGAAGAACCGACATTTAGGTAACAAATTTATTATTAAGACTGACCCGGAAATGACCGGCATTCAGGCAAGACTTCTATCATTACGGGTACTAAGACCAAGTAATGATATGCATTGATTAGATTAACAGAACAACTTTCGAACTTCTAGAATTACAGCATACAAATTAGTCTGCTATTATTCTCTAATCTCACCCCATCACCAAAAGTCTACCGTAACTACCGATCATTTATCCGCGCATCACTTGGAAAGTGACCTACACTACTCTGACCTACTGGTGCTAATCTAATCTGACTGACATGATCAGACTGTTCAAGAAACTTACGAACAATATATGTTCCTAACAAAACAGCTTTTTGAATTTTGACAATTATTGAATCATTCAAATGCAAAGACTTTAAATTCTCAACTAAGCTATTTGGAACTACACCTACATTAGAGATAACTAGGGGTAGAATTGAAATTTTTTTAAGATTCAACATGGATTTCATTTCTATCGATAATTGTAGATATTTTGAAATCTTGGTGTGGTATGTTTGAATAATGTTGTTTGTGTTAGGAATAGCAATGTCAATGAAAATGGCTTCGTTCGTGTGTTTTTTGATAAGTATGATGTCTGGTCTGTTAGCTGTAATGTTTAAGTCTGTAAGTATTGTGCGATCCCAGTATAATTTGTATTTGTTATTTTCAAGGAATGGAGATGGAATGTAAGTGTAATAGGATGTCGTATCTTCGATTAAGTTCATAAGTGTTGCTAATTCTTTGTGGATGATTTTGGCGGCGTTGTCGTGTCTAGCTTTGTAGTCAGTTTGTGCTAGGATGCTGCAGGAAGAGATTATGTGCTGGATCGTTTCAGGTTTTGCTTTGCAGAGGCGACAGCAGTCGTTTCTTATATTCGGATCTTTGATGATGTATTTTCTGTAATTCTTGGTATTGATTACTTGGTCTTGAATAGCAAACACAAATCCTTCTGTTTCGGCATACAAACTTGATTTTTTTAACCAAATCAATGACATCTTCTTATTGACATGAGTTTCTTCTAAGTCTTTGTAGAATTTTCCATGTAGTTGTTTTTGTTTTAGTCCACTTATTATTTTGTCTATTGTGTGGGGGGTGTGGATTTCTTCGGTGTTCGACAGATTTAAGGGTGTGTGGTTCAAATCTGCTCTTGTGATGGTGCGAAACATTTCATTTCTTTCCGCTCGTTTCAAGAAATACTTCTTCAAATCTGAGATTTGTTTCTGATATAAGTTTTCTAGGTTCTGGAAACCCCTTCCTCCATTCTGTCTTGGTAATGAGAATCTTTCAATCGACGATTTTGGATGATGCCTTCTATACTGTGTGAAGATTTTCCTTGTTGCGATGTTTAAATTTTCAAGATCAGTTTTGGACCATTTAATGACTCCAAAAGAATATGTTAGTAGTGGAACGCAGAATGTATTTACTGCTTTCATTAATTTTTTTCCATTTAACTGTGTCTTCAATATTAATTTTAATCTCGCTAGGTATTGATCTTTCAACTGTGTTTTCGTTTTGGTATGATTGATGTGGGAGGACTGACAGAAACCCAGATATTTGTATGTATCGTTTCGTTCTTGGGCTTCGATTATTTCCTTAATCTGGGTTATATGTGGTACTTGGTGTTGGACGCCTTTTCTGATTGCTTGGGTCTTACATTTCTCAATACCAAAAGACATACCAATATCACCGGAAAATTGTTCAGTCAGATTTAATAGGTTTGTTAACTGATTTTGTGTACTATTATTAATATTAGTTTTGATATTTATAACATTGTACTGTTTTGCATTTTTTCAAAATTTATGAAAATTAGAAACCCAGTGTTTTGTATTTGACTCGACGTCGTGAATTAAAAAAAAATATATGTATCCATTTTTACACCTGACACTTGCCTCACTTATTGTCTGCAGCTCACTCTTTCTAAAAGCCATCAGATGCACAAAACGCACTCGTTTTTTCACATGTTTCTCACTCTGAGATTCTGTAAGTTGATGGTTCAACAATCTTCGTAAAATTATTTTTTCTTTCTCAGGAAACGTAGTACAAAATTTAGGTGAAAGAAGATCAAAATAAGTTAAAAATTAATTTTTTTTTTAATAATACTTTATATAACAGAAATATCATCAAAAAAACAGATTCAGTGTTAGAAACCCATGGTACTCATGTACAACTTCATCTTATGAAAGGCTATATTATTGATAACTGCAACCGATGTAATTCTGAAACAAGATACAATAAAGAAAAGACCAATAAATTTAACAGTATTACCTTCTGTGCTATTTCTATTAAGCTTTCACCCATTTTTCTTCCAGTTTCCATGACTAAGTCGTAAAAAGCTCCTCTCTTTTGCAACAACATATAGGGGTGTTCAAACTCCACAGCCCTACCACTATCCATAACCAATACCTTATCTGAATCCATGATTGTATGCAACCTGTGTGCAATAGTCAAAACTGTGCAGTTCGCAAAATTAGTCCTTATAGTCCTCTGTAACAACTCGTCGGTATGAGGATCAACATTAGCAGTAGCTTCATCCAACATTAAAATTTTATTATTCCTCAATAGGGCTCTCGCTAAGCAGATCAGTTGCTTCTGACCAACACTAAAGTTAGAACCACCTTCCGACAAATTACTGTAAAGACCTGCCGGTAAATCTATAATAAAGTCCTTTAATTTTACTTCTTCTAAAACATTCCAAATTTTCTCATCTCCATATTCATCAAATGGATCTAAATTTTTCCTTACAGAACCGGAAAACAGAATCGGTTCTTGTGGAATAATTGAAATTCCAGATCTCACAGAACTGAGGCTCACAGACTTAGTATCTACTTCGTCTATGAAAATATTACCTTCGAAGTCTACCAGCCGGAACAAAACGGATATTAGCGAAGATTTTCCAGCGCCTGTTCTACCAACTACTCCAACTTTCTCGTTAGGCTTGATGAGAACATTTAAATTTGTGAGAACATAGGGATCCTCTGGAGAATATTTCATGAAGATAGATCTAAATTCTATTTTGCCGTGTTGAAGCCATTCTAGTTTAGGTTTTGTGATTTGGTTGTCACTTTCGCGTTTAACATCTATGTATTCAATTACTCTTTCGACTGAAGTCATTTGGTTTTCCAGTTCACTCCATCGTCTCATTCCCCACTGGAATATTCCTGTTAAACTCATTCCTTGAGTTATGACAAAACCAACATTTCCACCATACGTTTCTATGAAGGAAGAATTTTAGCTGAAATGAGTAAAATTTACGTACTAACCTTTAGTCAATGCGATGACAGTTATGACTAGAACGTAGATAACACAGACAATATCCAGCCAAGTGGCGAAAGCTCGATTGCTCCCTAAAAACATGTAAAACACTGAAGAATGTACGTTTTGATAGTTGTCGAATTCTTTTTCCAAGAGTAGTTCAGCGTTGCATGCTCTGATTGTGGTTAAACCTTTCATGGATTCTGTAAGGTGAGCAAAAATAGGACTGCGATCTAAAAAGATATCAGATCACTAAAAGAAATCGTCAAGGATTAGCGAACATCGTACTCGTAGACTCCATCCGTTTAATACTCCTACTGGTTGTAAGGAAAACCATTCTAATAAAATACATAATGATACTAATTGCTAATGTAGGAATTAGGGTCCAAGGACTAATCAAACATATTGCTCCAAAAGTACCGATTACCGACAATGTTAGCTGAAACATTTTTCTTAGTAGCTGACAATGTCGAGATATTTTATTGTGTATTTGTTACCTGCAAAACATCCATTTGCAAATCAGGAAGAGCCTCATCTATGGTTCCAATGTCTTTAGAAAACCTATTCAATATTCTTCCAGAAGAATTGGTATAAAAGAATCTCATGGTGGCCTTCACAGTACTGGTAAACATTTTATCATGCAGATTAACTGATGCTATCATACATCCTCTAATAAAAGACATAGATCGAACTGTAGCAAATATTATCAACAAGCCAATTATGCCTGCATACAAATAAATACAAATTGTTTTTGTAAAATAAATGTCCTCAAAGTAAAATTCTGATGAGTTGTTAAGTGATATGTTTTGACCTAATCGTCGTTGTTCTAAATTTACCCTTCAAAATAATCTATATGAGTAACACACGTGAACTCAGACAGTAGACTTACCAAAATGTGATAAAGTAATCCGAACCCTTGGCAAAGATTTCAGTTAAAACGAACAGTAATATCATTAATAGAAAAATACAGTAGGAACCACCAGCGCGAATAAATCTCATGTAAACCTCTTTTGATACCTTTCCAGATGTTCTTTTTTCTTCTTCTTCGTTTTGTTCTGGCTCTTCTTTTATATCTGTAGTTTCATTTGCAACTACAACGTCTTCATGGTCAAAATTTTCTTCATTATTTAAAACTTTGCTGAAATCTTCACCCGATGCTTGTAATTCTTTGTAACTACCAGAAACTGCTATTGAACCGTTTACTACCAAATAAATGTTATCTACTGAACTTAAGTACTGTATTTGGTGTGTTACAAGAACGACACATTTGCCTTTCAAATAGTCCTTGATACAATGTTTGAAGATATGTTTTCCAACGCTTGCATCAACAGCTGAGAGAGGGTCATCCAGTAAATAAATATCAGCATCTCTGTACACAGCTCTGGCTAGATTAATTCTAGCTTTTTGACCACCGCTTAACAGTATACCCCTCTCTCCAACAACAGTGTTATCACCATGAGGAAATTGTCCTAGATC